TGCGCTAGGAATAATAAAAAAAGAAAACACAGCGAGTGAGAACACAAACCGCGGGGGGAATAAGGAAGAGAATAGCGAGCGTCGAGACAAATAAAGCGGCAACATTATAACATTAGCAGTTAGAAAATACACTTAATTCCTCGGCAGAGATGGATATAAACTGCATTGTTGCGTTCGCAAATCCCAGCGACCGGATTTACACTGCTGCATTGTTTTATTAGGGAAGTATGTGGGCGGAGGAGCAATGCTTGTTCTAATTACAGTGATTTAATCAGGATTACAGAGGTTACCTGGATGAAGCTAGGGGGCAAAAGCACCTGCTTTTAGACGGACCGGTTATCGAAAAAACTTGACGACGACAATGACTTCAGAAAACAATGACTCGCTTTGCTCTTGCGCGGGTAAACACTGGCCTATTGTTCTTGCTCCTCTCTATCCGTCTTTATTTCCTTTCCTTTTTCCCTCCCCTCCCTCCTTGTTAAACAGAAGGCAGAGGGAATCCATTTTAATCTGATTAATAACTTAGTTGATCACATATAACCCAATTTTCATTCAGTGCCGCCCTTGTCCGCCCGGCCACACCCACACTGACCTTTGGAGTCGCCACGGCAACAATAAGCACCATTGTCCTGTCAAAAAAAGCTGAGGATGTTTTACATCATTACAGAAAATGTTAATGTCGCCATCTTTTTTAAATGCTTTGCAACAAAAGGCCAGGCCTGCAATTGAGCGTGTGTGTGGTTGGGGGGGGGTGGTTATTACGAGTGGGATTCGAGTTTCCTGGGTCGCAAGGATGGGAACAACTTTCCTCATGCATTCACAGTAATATGAATCGTCCTTTTAAAACAGATATGGTTACATATTAGTTTTGAAAGGTACAGTAACTGGCTCAGTGTTAAGCTGGCCTCCAACACTGGAGCCCTTTGTTCCCGGGGCCCAGCTAATAACTGGCCCCTGATCCTCATCTCTTGCTGGCTCAACTTTTTTTTTCTCTCCTCCTCTATCTCCCCCCGCCCAAACCCTCCCCCCCACTGAATGTATCTTTGATTACACCGTTATATGAGCTTCGTTTTGTCATTTCAATTTCACTCAATGTGTTTAGCGCTGAGAGATTTGTATTCAGGATTGGCAATTATGATTAGAATGCCACAAAGTAAAGCCTTGTGAGTTTTTTGCAATGACAAGTGAAAGAGAGAAAAAAAGTCCTCCCTTTCCTTTCTCTCCTTCCTTCTCTTTGGTTCTCTCTCTCTCTCTCTCTCTCTCACACACACACAGGAAATATGAATCAAATATTCATGAAGTGGGCTGAGGTTCTCATACATCCATATGCTCCTGATTCAGTCAGCTTGCAGTGGACACAGGCTGTGTGACAGAAAGTATGGCAGTACACCCAATATTGGGAAGTAACTAAGTACATTTACTCAAGTATAAGTTAAGTATTCCAATGTAATGCATATGCTTCTACTCCGCTACAATTTGGAAGGAAATAACATACTCCTCTTCATTAATGTCAGAATATTAGCCACTTAGCAGGTTAATATTATTAATACAAATCTATTGAATTATAATGTGCTGTCATAGATAAGAATTCTGACAGTATAAAAAGTCAGCTGCATAATTAAAACGACGAACATATCAAATGTCCTGTATTTAAAATCGTACTCAAGTTAAAGTACAAAAGTATGAAAAATATACTTTAAGTCAAAGTCAAAATACTCTTTGCCCTTGCCCTTTTCCAGATTCGATGATTTCTGATGTGTTAGTGTGTGTATCACATCTGGTGAAGGTGGAACTGATCTGATCTGAGTGATTATACACAGGATCATTTAACCTATAATGATTTGTCAAAATGTGTTAAATAATAGATTTATACATTGAATAAGCTTATATCTAAATCTTAAAAGTAACTTGTCACTAAAGCTGGGGAAACACAGTAAAAAATACAGTACTTCAAAATTGTACTTAAGTACAGTAGTTAGTTGAGTAAACGTAGTTACTATCCACATCTGGATATTACTACTTCTAAGTACCTATCAGCACCAGCACCACAGTCGTCAAATAGGTCACAGCAGACATCCTCCCCTGCTCTCTTCTTCTGTTCCTTTGTCCTCTTTGCCCTCCACCGTACCCCATGACTTCCTCTTTGGTTTAATAATCTGTTGTGAGAGAGATGAGTCCTCGGAGCTCCGTGATTCACTGGCCAGGAATCCTTGTAAAATCAAGGCGCCGTGCATTTGCCAGTTTCCAGAAATTGTAAGAACTTTATGGTTTACAGTTTTTTATTATGCCTCGGAAGGAATGAAAAGGGGTGCGCGAGCAGAGGGTCCGGGGTTGGGGAGGGGATTAAAATTTAGGGGATTAGCACCACACTTTAAGATAAATCTTTTTTAATGTGAAACCTCATCCCCGCTCATTCTGGGGTAACCACTCTTATTAACTTGCTTTTCTAGCGCTTTCTTTTTTTTCCACGCAGCCTTATTTTCCTTCGCCGAGCAACTTTAAGTACAGGCTTTTGGACACGGCCGCGCACCGCCAACTCTGCCAGTTACACAAACAACGTCCCCTTTTTAAGCTTTTAAACACAGAACAATGGCAAAGCACATAGCTGCGCACATTAATGCTTTTGTATATGGGAGGGGAAGAGAGGAGGAGAAAAAGAAAGAAGAAAAGAGATAAGCAGAGCTTGGCTACGCTGCCCCTCCACATCTCTCTTTTTTTCCTTCTCAATCTTTTCCACTGTGAAAAATCTCTCTATCCACGCTGATCTGTATGAGTCGGGGGGCTAAACAGACAAACATCATATTCTCGGTCTCCAGACTCTAATTGACTGAACAAGGATTGGTCACACTTTTAAGTAGCGTTCCATAATGGATTTCCATGTGTGTGCCTCTTTTAACTGGCAGTGCGAATGGAAGGCATAAATGTTGTCTTTATTACCGAAAACAACAGCCCTCTCTCTTTCTGTCTCCCCCTCCGTCTTCTCTCTCTCTTCTCCACGATATCAGTCCTTGCATTCATCGCAAGGTCAACGCTGCCTGACAGATGACAAACGATATCAAGATGGCCACATCGTCTGTCCTGTAGTCATTGGGCGAGAAAGAGATAAATGTGTTTTTTTTTGTAGTTCTTCTTTTTAATTTCATTATCATGGGTGACAAGAAAACACCTGATTCTCCGTGGCACCGGCAAAAGAAGAAGAAGAAGTGCTTCCAGGGCCAAAAGAGAAAACTTGGGGGGGGGAGGTGGGACAAATGAGGGAATCTTTGGGAAAAATCTGCACTTATCGTGTTTCTGTATCAAGAAAGCAGACTTGGCAAGAGAGGGGGATTCGGTATTATGTACAAGCTGCTCATCAGATGGGAGTTGGGTTTATTTCTGTAGCCCACTCCCCCCCCCCCTCAACTCCCCTCTATACTCCCCTCCCTCCCATCCTCTGCCACCCCTTCTTGTTTGCTTCCAATCCAAGACATTTTCCCTGACTGGACAGCTCCATCAGAATACGAGTTGGCATCCTCGTGCGAACGAACGCAACTTTTCATTTCAATTATTTGATTGATTTTCTCACTGTTTATAGCTTTTTCCCTCCCTTTTCCTTTGTTCCTTCATCTTTTTTTCCAGACTCATTACCTAGGTACACACACACGGGGCCACAAACTCCATCTCCGCTACTGACGGCCACTTTTGACAAAACACTAAGTGCGTTTCTTAATTATCTGACTTCTCTCTAATACCGTTGTCATCGCGCAGACAGTCGCTCTCTGATGTTGTTATTATGTTCTCATTTGGACGCTGGCTCTCTGCAGGTAGTCATCCCCCCCCCCC